AAACACAAGCCTTATATTTGACGCTGTAACTTTTGAAAACACCATAAAACCTGTAAATGAGGGATACTGTTGTACTCGGGAGACTTCGCTGAACACAAATATTTGTGTTTCAAAACAGTAAAAAGTATCGCAGCAATAATATCGTCCGTGTAAGTGCTTTTTGTGTGTGAAAAATGCAAAAAACTTCACTTTTACTGACGATATCATCGTTGTAATACATTTTACTGTTTTGAAACACTAATATGTGTGTTTAGCGAAGTCTCCCGAGTAAAACAGTACCCCCCATGTACAGGTTTTATGGTGTCTTGGAAAGTTATAGGGTTAAATATAGTGCTAGCAAATTAAATTCCCTTTACTTTCAGCATGGGTTGTCAGGCAGGTCCCGCTAATTGTAATTAATTAAGATACCTAATTATGTAAAAATATTACATGAATATATATGTAGAATTAGTATATTTATATATACGTATGTGAATATATATGTATATATATATATATATATATAATTTTTTACAAATATTTTTATTTATATATAGGTATATATATAGTGATATATACGTATATATTTATGTATATAGATATATATATTATTTCGTTCTACGTGTATTTTGATATAAAAATATATATATTAATATCACAATACAGTTAGAACGAAATAACACATATATATATTTTTCAATTATTTATTTTTTATTATTTTTTTAATTTTATTTTTTAACGTATTCACATATTTAATTTTTTTATATTATATATAAATATATATATAACAGTAACTATATATATATTTAATCAGTATCAGTCTACGTGTAATTTGATATTAATATATATATATATATAATTATATATATATATATTAATAGTATTAATAGTAAAATACACCTAGACAGTGTATGTGTGTGTATGTGTATATATATATATACTTAGATCATATATATAATATATATATATATATATGATCTAAGTATATATTTATTTATTTTTTACACTTTTTATTTCTAGCCAGCAGGGGGACCACCTGTCATTACAGGCAGCCCCCCTGCTGGCAATGCTGCAGCCAGCTATCCCGGCCATGTGATTGTGAGGTCCTCGCAAGGACCTCACTCTCACATGGCCGAGGGGGCTGCCAGGAAGAAGATCTGCTGCAGGGGGGCTCCCTGGGAGTCCCCCTCACCACGTGGGACCTCCGGCGACCGGGTAAGTAAAGAAAGACCGGAGGGCGTACTATTACGCCCGTCGGCGTTTAGAGCCGCCTAAAATAGGGCGTAATAATACGCCCTCAGTTCTTAAGGGGTTAAATTTGTGTTTCATTGTTTTGTAAAACAAGGGTGAGGTATACAGAAGGAAAAAAAAAAGGGCGGGTTGGGAGGGGGAAAGTCATCGTATATTGCAAACATCATGCAATGTAAGTTTCTTTGTTCATTGTATAGCATTTATAAGTATTTAACATGGGTTGGATGGTACCTGTCAGGATCTGTCCTGCTCTGTTCTGATGTCTGACTTGGCTTCTGGTATCCAGTTCTCTTTTTACAATTCTTGTTTAGTTTTTCTTGGTTTTTCTGGTTTTCTATTCCATGTCTGGTTTTCTTTATGCTGGGTTTCTGGGTTCATTCTTATATTCCGTCCCTGGATTTCCCAGTCTCCTGGATTCATTTATATGTTTGTTTTGTGTTGCCACGCCTGTTTGTTTTCCATCATTCCTTTTGTTTTAGCCTGGACCTGCAGCAGTGTTTCAAGTCTCTGCCCTTTCTTGCAGGTAAGTGCTATTGTGGTTTAGTATGGTTCTTTTAGCATATTAGGCAGTGTAGGACCTGCCGAATATGGGGTACATTGGCGTTGTGGCAGGCTTATGCAATGTATAATCATATAATGTAACTAAATCCCCATACTTTTCATATATAGTGCTTAGTTATGTCTCCTCTTGTTTTGTCTATTATACATTGTCTTGTTTTATTTTGTAATCCCAGTCCATGTACAGTCCTGTCCTGCCCCTGTTTAGTTAATGTTCCCTTATGTATTGTGTACATGTTCTGGGTTTAGCTTCCTATCCTTCTCTGGTTCTGGGTTCTATTAGTTCTGTCTTGTTTTCATGTCTGGTGACTATCCTAGCCTTGCCTTGTTTCTGTACTGGATACATTCTTACTGCAGAGCTTCCCTATTCAGCTCCTGGCAGGTCTGCTTACTTCCTAGCTTCAAGTTCATGGGATCCGTGGTAGCTGCATCAGGGTTCTGGTATGTGGCCACACAAACGCTGGTACTCAACACCAGAGGGTGTGTGGTTGCCCTGCACCAGGCCCTGATAATCCACTTCCACGCTGAAGACTCCGCTCATCATCCGCATCAGGCACAGGGGTCCCGGTTTCCATACCGCCACCCGTGACAGTACCATATATCTACATAACATTTGTAACAGTGGCTCTGTCCACCTGAAACCTTTATGGGGGCAGAACCTAGTAACTTAACCACCCAGGTATCATCAGTATGTTATCAGAATCTTTTGTTTTGCATGCTCTATAAAGGATTGCTGGGAGGGTGAAGGAGGGGAGATGAGGGGGGAAGAGGGCCAGGGGAGAAGAAAAGTAAACCATGGTCGGCCTGTAGGTCTTGTGCTGGGGCGACATCAGTGATGCATAGTAGGTGTGTATTCTTTGGTGTAGTAGGCTACCCAATGGTGCCATACCTTCTGTAGTGAGGTATATCGGTCAGGGGACTCTGCAGCCATTTTTTCACATGTATAAAACTGTTGTATTTTATCAATCAGCTGAGATTTAGAGGGGCAGATTTTTTACTTCCAATGAAGAGCAATAAGGTGCCTGGTGGCCATGAAGATTAGGGGGCCTACGAACTTGGAGTTTCTGGATACGTTTTTTTTTTTGTGGTAATTTCAATAGTAGGCAAGTGTCTACAGTGGTGTCTAAATCGGTTATTCCATTACCCTTCAATACCTGTGCCACCTTGTCCCATAATGGGAGTATGGTTGGGCACGACCACCATATATGTATCATGGTGCCTTTACTCTGTCCACACTGACAGCATAGGTCAGAGGTCTGGGGAAACTTTTTGTGTAGCCGTTGCGGTATGAGGTACCACCTATATATTAATTTCCTGTGAGCCTCTATGTGGGAATAACATCTTGTGACACCTTTTAAAACATTAATAGCTAAGACCCAATCTGTGGGTGCCATCACATAACCAAGCTCCCCAGACCACTGTTTGGCGAATGGGAAGTCTATTGTAGGTACCATTTCTGTCAAGGTGTGGTAGCACTCTGAGAGGGCTTTCAGTTTACTAGGTGTGGACAAACACCTATCCAAGATAGTGGAGGTAATTTTAGTCTGGATTGAGCTAGTGTCATTTCTCAAGTGTACATGTGTTACAATAACGCTTTTTAGCTGGAGATATTGGAAGATATAGGAGTATGGTACATTGTATTTGCTTTTTTTAATTCTGGGAAGGGAATTATGGTTCCCTGATTGCATATATCTGTTATCGAGTTTACCCCTTCCTGTAGCCAGGTGTGAAACATGAACCACGGGGACAATGCCGTCAGTACTGTAAGAGGAGCTCTTTGGTGGAATTTGTCACTGTTTCCTATTTTGGATCTGAAGTGGTCCCATTGTTGTATGGAAAGGTTTGTAGTAGGGAACAGGGACAGCAACCTTTTTCGAGGATGTTTAAGTATCCACAAGAGGTCTGTCAGCAAGGTACCTGAAGCTTGGGAGTTTTCCATATCAACCCACTGCTGCAATTCACCCTTTGGGGTGTGCATCCTAATTGTGGATTCTAGGAGGGAAGCTTTGTGGTATCTCATTATGTCAGGGCTTCCCACGCCTCCCATGGATACCTGGTTCTGTAATAGGGCAAGTGACACCCGAGGTCTGTGGTCATCCCAAATAAACGATTTGCTGATATGATTTGCTGATAACGATTTAATGTTTGCTGAGGGGGGTGGGTAGTCGCAGGGGCAACATCCTAAATGTATATAGTAGTTTTGGCAGTAGTACCATTTTGGTCGTGTTGACTCCTCCGGGCCATGAGAGCTTGACCATTTTCCATTTGGAAATTGTGGTAGAACATGTGTGTGTTAACTTTTTGTAATTCTCTGTGTAAGAGGTCTGGGGCCAGTGTTTGAAAGAGCTCTATAGTATATGTGGCCAGGTCTTGAGGGAGGATTTCTTCTTTGATGCCCCACAGGCGTATGTTGCTTCGCCTGTCCCTATCCTTGTTGTCAGCCACTTTGTTTTCCAGCTTATCCATTCTGGCAAGTAGTTCCGTATAGGAAGCTGCCAGTGTATTGTGAGCTTCAATTATTTCTTAAGGTTTTTTTTCTAATTGGTTGGTTCTCTCTGCAATGGATTGAATATCTGACCTTACATCCCTGGCCAGTTTGGCAAACTCAGCCTGCATGGATGATTGCAGATCGTGCAGCATCTTTTGGACCGAGGAGTCTGTTGCCGGAGCCTGGTTAGGCATGGAAATGCTTGTACTATCACTGCGGTCAGAGCAGGAGGCGGGAGATCACGGTCCATCTGCGCTATTTTGGGAGCAAGGCGAGGAAAGAGCTGTGATTTGTAGCGCAGATATCTGCTTTTTTTTGGCAGATTTTTGTGCCATGATGTGTAGGGGTACTGTGGGACCTCATTATTTCTTTTACTGTAGGTTAATCCCTCACGGGGAGCAAACAGCTCCTGCAGCCATCTTGGTGAGCTGCTAAACCACGCCCATCTTGGTAAGTGTATTTTAACAGTGAGAGACAGAATAACAAAAGAAAAAACCAGGAAAGCGAATGTCAAAAATAGTTACAAAGTGATTTGCATGTCAATGAATGAAATAAGTATTTAATCCCCTATCAATCAGCAATATTTCTAGCTCCCAGGTGTCTTTTATACAGGTAACGAGCTGAGATTAGGAGCACTCTCTTAAAGGGACTTCTTCTAATCTCAACTTATTACCTGTATAAAAGACACCTGTCCACAGAAGCAATCAATCAATCAATCAGATTCCAAACTGTCCATCATGACAAAGACCAAAGAGCTGTCCAAGGATGTCAGGGACCAGATTGTAGACCTACACAAGTCTGTAATAGGCTACAAGACCATCACCAAGCAGCTTGTGAGAAGGTGACAACAGTTGTTGCAATTATTTGCAAATGGAAGAAACACAAAATAACTGTCAGTCTTCCTCAGTCTGGTGCTCCATGCAACATCTCACCTCGTGGCGTTTCAATGATCATGAGAACTACACAGCAGGATCTTGTTAATGAACTCTATGCAGCAGGGACCATAGTCACCAAGAAAACAATTGGTAAAACACTACTCTGTGAAGGACTGAAATCCTACAGCGCCCGCAAGGTCCCCCTGCTCAAGAAAACATATGTACAGGCCCGTCTAAAGTTTGCCAAATAACATCTGAATGATTCAAAGGAGAACTGATTCCTCTTCTGCAACTGTCATTAGTCTAATACTATCCTTACCTTTTTGTGTCATTTTACCCCACTCCCTCTAACATGTAAGCTCATTGAGCAGGGCCCTCAACCCCTCTGTTCCTGTGTGTCCAACTTGTCTGTTTACAAATACATGTCTGTTCGTCCAGCCATTGTAAAGCGCTGCGGAATTTGACGGCGCTCTATAAATATCATAATAATAATAACTGGATTTAAGTTTTGTGGTCAGATGAGACCAAAATCGAGCTCTTTGGCCTTGACTCGCCGTGTTTGAAGGAGGAGGAATGCTGCCTATGACCCCAAGAACACCAAACATGGAGGTGGAAACATTATGCTTTGGGGGTGTTTTTCTGCTAAGGGGACATGACAACTGCACCGCATCAAAGGGACGATGGACGGGGCCATGTACTGTCAAATCTTGTGTGAGAACCTCCTTCCCTCAGCCAGGACATTGAAAATGGGTCATGGATGGGTATTCCAGCATGACAATGACCCAAAACACACAGCCACGGTAACAAAGGAGTGGCTCAAGAAGAAGCACATTAAGCTCCTGGAGTAGTCTAGCCTGTCTACAGACCTTAATCCCATAGAAAATCTGTGGAGGGATCTGAAGGCCTCAAAACCTTAAAGACTTGGAGAGGATCTGCAAAGAGGAGTGGGACAAAATCCCTCCTGAGATGTGGGCAGACCTGGTGGCCAACTACAAGAAACATCTGACCTCTGTGATTGCCAACAAGGGTTTTGCCACCAAGTGCTAAGTTGAAGTGGTCAAATATTTATTTCACTCATTGACATGCAAATCAATTTATAATTTTTTTGATATGCTTTTTTCTGAATATTTTTTTTGTTATTCTGTCTCTCACTGTTAAAATACACCTACCATTAAAATAACAGACTGATCATTTCTTTGTCAGTGGGAAAACATTCCAAATCAGCAGGGGATCAAATACTTTCCCCCCCCACTGTAGATACAACCCAAAGAGCGCAAAAGAAAAAACTTTTGCGCTGTTTGGGCTGCATTTACTAAATTGAGGAGGTGGAGTGCTCTCCATAGATATTGAGTGTAGTAAGAAGTATTATTTTTGTAAAGGGGAGCAGTTAGCAATAAAACCACGCCCACTAGGGAGTACCAAAATTATTCTTGCACCCAGGCGTCAGTGACCTTAGGATCAGCCCTGGTTTGACATCTTAACTGACCTTTGCTGAGCCTCACTATAGCAGAAAGTACTCTTTACTGAGCTAAGACTGGCAGGGCAGAGCATAGAACATTAACTGAGAGTGATCAGCCTAATGCTCTCAGCCAATCAGCTGGCCCTGCACTGGAGCAAAGGATCTTCTGGGTGTCAGAGAGGTAGGAGCCACACCCCATGGGTTCTAGGTAAAAAGTCAAACTGTTAAGAACAGATTTGACTACTTATTTTTTGGGGAGAGGGGAGTATGAGGTGGCACCAGGATTCTCCTGGCACCATCATCACTACCTATATTATAAAGTATTTTACATCATTTTTACATTAAAGTGTATTTGAGGGCCTTGGGCATTTTTAGCACATTCTATTTCAGATAACAGGCAAAATTGATTCATTATGTTCTGGTTTTCTATAAGAGTTCCCCCAGCATGTATCCAAGCATTGGACAATTATAGGACACATTGTTGTAAGTGGCTGGATCATATTTTAAAAGCAGTTCTAAGGCACAAGATAAATGATGTGCTATGTGCATTTAATAGGACTATATAGCCCAAATGGAGGATTTAAAGAGTCCACTGTCAGGGACAGTTTCCTAGCACCATAATGACTACAAGACAATATCGTGGTTAAGGTGTTTGAAGTGTTCCTTCAAACATTGGAATTTTACAAACTGTTTTCCCCATGAAATTATTTGATTTTAAGAATTCAACACCTAAAATGCAGCATGCAAAAATCTATATGACAAGCAATAGAAATGTGTTCCTAATCACTATAGGTTTAAATTAATGTATGGAAATTATAAAAATGCTGAAAAAAATAATCAAGAGGAACAGGTATATCTACTGATTGTATCTCTAATTTATGTTCATTGATATTATGAAATCAAATTTATTTGATCGCATTAGGTTTTCATTTGCATGGAGGTGACACCTGTTTTCCAATCAATTCATTTTTCCATTTTTTTATAATATATTCCTTGCTTTAAGCAATTAAATAATAAAAGGAAACAAGCATTATAATCTTCAATTTGATTTCTAAAATGTTCTGAATTAACCTTTTCCTGGATTACTTATGTCAAAAAAATCAGCATTTTTGAAAGTGAGAAAAGATGCAGAAGTTTTGTCTTCATTTAGTGTCATTTATTGTCTTAAGTTTTGACTGTTACAACAAGCATTATTTTTTTTAAAGCTTACCTATCTTCGAGAAGCCTCTTTCCAAAGGAAAATTGTCAAACGTTTGATTATATTAAATAAAAGCTTACTTTGTAATGACTCTTGCATTTTGTTCTAATACATTCAATTACGTAAATACAGATTATTAGTGCATTGCTTGTCTTACGTTTGCTCAGTGGAGGAATCATCATTAAGCCTTCATTGGTTGACTCTGACCAAAGACCATGCAGGTACCTCAAAAGCTACCGGTTGTTCACCTGATATCAGGCACAAGACCCGAGCGTCTCAGAAACCTATTATCATTTGTTCGTTGTTCATGAATTCATTTCATTCAAGAATTGCTTCTGTTCAAAGAGGACGCAACAATGGCCTTCACCATTCAACAAGTATAAGCCGAATAAATCAGGGAACCTTGCAATAGACAAATACAGCGTTATGTGTTATGATGCTTTGGAGATCAGTTCAACAGACTCTCAAAAGCAAATAGAAAAATATGTTTAGAAGGAGTAGACACATGGTGGTAGAAGTGGAGAAAATGAACACTCTAAGCAGCATAAACAAGCTATAGTGGTTATGGTACCAGGAGTGCTCAATGTAAGTAGTCTATCCGTTTTAAAATGGTTTGACCTCTTACCTGCGGTCTGCTGGGCACTGCTCCCCACTGCAGGCTCTTAGCTAAGCCTGGAAGCAGAGAGCTCACTGACTGAGATAAGCTGAATTGTGACGGTAGTCACCATCACCGGGGACAGAAGACTGACACTTATGTTTTAGTCACCCTGTGCCCATTAAAGGTGCAGGGTGTGTACAATGTATTTGTTTTTGTTAGTTATTTTCTCCCCCTTTCTCCTGTCCTATGGAGGGCATTGTCCTACTGTTTAATGAACACTGTCCTGCTGTTTCAGGTACACTTCCAGACCATTTCAAACTGGCTGCCCTGCCACTTATTTTAATCCCCAATGTGGTTCTCAATCCTTGTTTTTGTCTGTCATCATCCTTCCTGGTAATTACTAGGCTCATTTCACACTGGCTGTAGTCTTTGTAAGTGATTGGTTGCTTATCCAAGTCCATACTGTTATTGGTTGGCTTAGGATACGTAGTGTGATCGGTAACTATTCCAAACCCACACTGCCATTGGCTATCACTGTAACCCTATTGTCTGTCGATGAGGCTGTGGGGGTATAACTAGATGTACTGTTTTTATTAAAGGTTTTTGTTCTCCCCTTCACTAAGTATTGTCTAGTGCTTGGGGAGGTGTGCTATCATCCTTACAGCAGCATTTCTTCCAACCTGAGAGGACTTCAGCGGAGATATTCACTTGGAGTACTGGAGCTCCGCTACACTAATAAGTTCCGCTGTAAGACATAGCTCCGCAAGGCTAACAGAAGATCCTAGCAGGAGCCTACAGCTTGCCTGGATGCTGCAGTGGAAGAAAGGGGGAGATGAACCATTAGCATTCCAGTGACTTCAGAGACTTTTTGTAAATCTTAGGTTCAAACAACAGAATTGGGAACAATCCCCAGACTGCTTAAGTTAAAGATTTCCCCTAACTCATCTATGTTAACAAATTATGCAAAGAGGTTGTAAACGCATTAGAAACACTTTAGAAAAACATCAGAAACTGTTAAGTAAAAATATCCAAATATTGCATGGACGTTTCCTTAATAAGTTTGTTAGTGTGTCTTCCTAGCAGTTACATTTTTATGTGCATTTTTGGATTAGATTATGATTGTAACCACATTGCATATAGAACCATTATAAAAAAAATGAAGATGACATCTACACTAGATTAGTAGTTTGTGAAATTGCTAATAGTCTTTTTTTTATTTCTTCTTTTTTTTTTTATATTTAAATAAAACGTAGACTATTTACAGTCACATTATTCTAACCTATTATGCCAGGAATTTTCACGTGCATAAGCTGAGCAGGTTGAGCTCAAAATAAAATAATATTCTTTTAATTGCAAGTTTAACATGAATGCGTTTATTTCACAATGATGGTACCATCTTTTTAAAAAGAATAGTACATTTGAAGGGTTGCCATGGAGACTTTCCTACAATGAAAACGGGTCCTCACTTGTTAAATCCTTTATATAGTGTAGTGCTCTAGCAAACATTAGTCATGATTTCCTATCCTCTTATACTGCCAGAAAATTGCTGGTAACAAACAAAAATCTTGGAAATATTTAAGAATACCCTAAGGGTAATCATATAGAACATTTTAATGCAATTTCCATGGTTTTCATATGAGTTTCAATTGTTATGAATATCTTCGTAAAAAAACCAAATCTGAGTGTACAGGAAGGCAAATTCACACGTATAACTTGGATCAGCCTGGAAATTTACATTTGTTTAAGCATTTCTACTAGATTTAAAAGAGAACTACAATCGCACAAACTCAATCCATCGAGTTTGACCTTAAATTTTTAATTAGAAAATAAGTTGTATAGAAGTTGATTAAAGGGATACTCCAGAACCCTAAAGCACTTTGGCTTGCTGAAAAGCTTTGTGTGAACAGTGTGTTTTCTTTTTTTCATTTTGGAAAAAGTGCAAATTTAA